GTGTTGTTACTACAGTGCTCCCATTCGGTGGACATAGTTATGTCAGGCTCTTCGATCCTAAACAGCATGTCTTCAGTTAGTACCATCGCTTGCTCGATGCATGTGCTTCTCTTTTTCGGGAGCTGCCTGAATAACCGTTTATTGTCTCTTGGAAACCAATTAACTGAGGGAAATGAAGTTCAGCCTTCTGAAGGAATTTTCTTCCACGATTGGCAATAGAAGTAACATTTCCATTACGCGATTCTGAAGAGTAGCATTAGCAGTTCTTTTGAATGCTAAGACACTGATTGCAAATCCGCTCTCTTAGCGGTTATTGAGGATGGTGACTTTTAGAGCAACAGATTCGTTTTGTGAGCTGAAATAATTGGCTTATTTCAGAATTTTTCTATCGGTGGATCTCAGACTACAATATAAACCAATCTATCAATAAAGAAATTGTAATGTTTTGGCTTGGACACTTTACCGAACCTGACATTTAAGAGTAATGAACTTGAAATTTCGACCAATAAACTAACAACATTTTAGTGTTTCAAATTCTGAATAAAAATCAACAAAAGAAAAATCAAAGACCTGACAGAAATTGCTGACAGTTCACCGATTGGTATACTCAGCTGTGGATTTTTCAAATCGTCGCTCATATTCACACCTGAAAATATAATGTTTCTCAGCAAATTTTCAGATATAAAATTTTGTCATTATTATCATCGCTGTTATTATTTTCACTGTTACTATTACTACTACTACTGTTATTGTTATTATTGTTGCTATTGTTATTATTACCAGACAGAATTATTCTTAGTCAGCTTAACAAAACTCACAATTTTTTCATGGTCAGGTTTTTCTTTTGACCATTCAGCAATAGGTGAATCACCAAGTATGGAGGAATTGTTAAATTTTCCGACTGCATACGTGCTACATTTGGTTCTTTGTTTAACTGCCGCAGCATGAGTAGTCTGAAGGCAGTTACTAAATTTGCCCAGCTAATTCCAGGGACGGCCAAAGCCCCACCAGCTGCTTCCTTCGGGAGAATCATTCAACAGATTATCTTTTCAGGAGAAAAAAAACAAAAGCAAAGATTAATAGCAGTTAACCACTTTGAGATGCAGTAGCCCTTGAAGTGGATAACATACTAACTCCAAAGATAGACAGCCAAGCTGTAAATTAACAACTGTTCTAGATTTAAAAGTAAACCACTAAAACACACACTTAAACGTGCACGGATAAAATTCCAACTATTCCGCAAGATTTGTGAAGAAATTAACGAACCTGCCAAGACGCCAAGGAAGTTTGCGAAGAATACACCAAATACGGTGAAAAAATTTTGAGGGCTCTGTTGAACGTCATAACCGAGAACTGAACAGTTGAAGCCGGCATACATGGGAACTGAATTTAGGTCGAATCGAAAAGCAGAAAAGTGTCCGACGCCATGCTCTGAAAAATATTTCACTTTTTTCTCAAAAAGACTTAAAATTTCAAAAAACTTAAAATCAATTAGTGCGTAAGAAATGTTGATGTACCTATCAAATTCGTACAGTGGTCCTTAGATAATTAAAATCTAGCAAGTGTCTGATCTCCTAGTTGGCAAGGTACTTATTACGCTTTTGTGTCTGGGAATGCCAGCATTCGAAGCGAGGTGGCAAAGATCAGTACATGGCAGTGGCGTCTCGTGTATGCGTCTTGGTGGATCGAAACATTCCTGTTTAGGTGTTTTATTTTTTCATGTTCCTCACGTCTTGTTAAAACTTTCGTTTTTATTTCACTTGTTACTTAGATGATAATTCATAAGTGCTGATCATTACTGCATCGATTTATCATTTTTTTACTCCACTTCCGAAAGGGATAAAATCTTGCCAAGTGCTATTACCGAAAAACCGTTGAATTGGTAATCTCGCTAGGAGATGAAACGGAAGCTAGGGTCGCCAGCAAGACGACCACCAGGAGATGCGCCACCGGTCAAAGTAAATGGAAAAGTTGCCACATGCACAGCTAGGAAAGCGTTGCTGATGAATGAAATAATAGTGTCTGTTTTTATAATAGTTGTCAAAATTATCTTTTTTTTCCTAATGTTCTGTCTGTTTAAATAATGGTCAGGGACTGGGCCAGGACTTTTGAAGAGTTTAGTCATTGAAATTTGACGCCAGATCCCAAACTTTGATGCTTGACTACGAAAAGCGAGGTAGAATCTGATAAGGGCAATCGCCCGTTGACAAGACTATCCCTTCTAACGGTTGCTTAGAAAATGAACTGAAAGCAAACATTAACCTGTATCGATACGAAACATAGCACCCAAGTAGAAATCGATGACAGCAAGAGCCAGAAATGCAATTAAAATCAACTGCAATCGTATGACCCAACGTGCGCCAGCCATGTTGATACCTAGAAATAGTGCTTTTTAAGTGATTTTCAGCTTCGGACTCTGAATGAAACCAGAAAACTACGTGCTAAAATTTAGACTCACACACTTCCATTAAACAGAATCGGTCACCGAATGAATTCTGTTCACTTTCTTGAAACAATTATACTTGACCGTTATGCCCCTCAAAATTGAGGAAGCATAAGACTGGCATAAAATGCGAAGACAAAACAAAAGATTTAACATAGAACAAGAGTCAAGAAAATTGAGAAAAAAAAGGGCTTAGGATGAGTCGCCCTGATTTTTATCGTGAGTTGCGCGAGTTGCAGGCCAGTGCCAAAACCAGAGACTACCGGGCAAAAGTAACGACAAGTTGGAACTTATAACTAACCTGTCAGAATTAGCAATGTTGATACTGCAATGATTTTATCAGCAACAGGATTTTCCGTGCCAAAAAGTCGAGCGATACTTTCACCGAAACCAATCGCAACCAATCCAGTAGCTACTGACTGAAATAAAGTGAAATTAAGCGTATTTCTATACGGCGACGTGCAAGATATCACTGCTACCACGTCAAAAAGTAAATTTCAGCGGGTAAGGTATGTTGCTCATATTGCTCACAACTGGTGGATGTTGCGCATTAGTAAGTGGTATCCGCGAGAAATTAAACGACCACTCAGACGATCCTCCCTCGCATCGAACAGGCAATGGCGCTAACCGGAGATATGCAATCCAGGAACAAAGACCATGGCATATCAGCGCCCGACATTGACTGTATTCGAGTAACACCACCGAAATGGGATATTCATTTTTGTAGTGTCATGAACAGAGCCCCTTTGCAGAAAGGGTTATGGGTGGGAAGAGAACCGAACCACTTCTCCTCACATCCCAACGCGACGTGTTACCCACTACACCACTGTTTTTTGTGCTCCATGATCAGCCTGGCACCACATCTGTTATATTCCTGCCTATCTAGGCAGAATACACTTTTCTTTTTGTTAACCTGCAGGAAATATGCGTCTTTTCCCTTCGCAGCGGTTTCTTATTTGCCAGCATTTCGAGAATTTTCCGCGAAGCGTGAGTTGGCGTTCCTGATAGTTATTACACATCCTTCATATGCTCATTTTCAGTCATAAATCAAACTACAAAACTTGCGCATCTACCTGGCCGAAAGCGTACATCAAGCCAACAGCTCCACCAATCTGTCCACCCAGTACATGCGATACGAGAAAGTAGATGCCACCGCTTTGTATCTGGCACCGCTCGCAA